AGGATAGAGTGTCAATACGTTAGCTGATTATCGGTATTGCAGCTAGAATGTTATTCCAATCAATTATTATAACATCGACTAACTATAAATATGAAAACCGTTAATATCAACCCTTCTCTGCTTCCATAAAAAAATATATATAGAATTTTTCAATAAATCATAGGCGATACCATTACTACCCTAACGCAATACTACGAACTGTACGCAGAATTACCTAACTTGATTCAGAGCTGATGTACGAACGTATGCGCGAATACCCAAGATCCTTGCTCCATTTCTTCGATCATCAAGGTGTATTTTGGACGCTGTTGCGTGTATTTAACTGGCACAAAGACTCGATGAATCGTCGAACGGTTCGAAGGGGTCATTCAAGGGGGGATTAAAGGTAACGGCTAGTACTTGCGATCGATAATCACCGATTCATCGGGAGCAACAACGACAAGAGAGCAAGAGAGGCGACGACGTTGTTGGCACGTTTGATCTTCTGCTGCACAGCAGCATACTTTTCGCCGTCGTGAGCAAGCGCGCTCGCGACACGCCACGCCGAGCGTGATCTATCATGAAAAATTACCTTTGACTAGTAGCCCGTGGCTGACCGTTTTTCAGGTAACCGGGTACTCAGGTTGGAACTAATGGAAAATCCATAGAGCGCCAAGGGGTGAACGTTAAAAGCGACAGCGAGCGTGCCGACGATGCTTAGCCGTCGTCGATACAAGAGGAGAGCCTTCTGGAAATTACACACCTTCTTTTCTCTACCTCTGTTACCTATCACGTGATCGCTCTACGCGTAACTAAATACTACTCGATCGTAGATTTTTACACGATCGGTTCGGTCATCGTTCGCCTTCGTTTCGCCGAACGAGAAATCTCCCTGTTTCCCTCGTTCACCTTTAGCAAATTTCGTTCTTTTTCGAGAGCCTCCGTCCGGTGGCTATAATTACCCAGTAGGATGTGTTATAATGCACGGTTATCGTTCAAGTGGCAAGAGAAGTTTCCGTTGTACAGAGAATATTCGACTATTTTTAGAGAGTGTCGTGAATTGTATAAGCGAGCACAATGGTGATTCGAGGCAGCGTTTTGTACGAGGTAAAGAATGTAATTTATAGACGGTTAAACGAAGTTCACTTTTCGTACTAATTTTAGAACAGGTATATAGAACGGGCACAATCGTGCTTCGTAATCGACGAAACTTTAAAACGTTACGTGATCCCATAGAATTTCGCCTTATACTCTATTTTCTCTAGTTTTCATCTATAAGCGGAGAGAGTTTGAAAGCGTTTGATGATTTGCTAATGTCAGTATGAATACGGTATCGTTCGGATAAGTAACGATTGTCGCTAATTGGCTTTCGTTTAACCAGAACGAGTATTCAAATCGAAATGAATGGCGAATTATTTTAAGGGATGTATTTACGTAAATATCAGCCCACGATGATACACCGTCCCGTCATTGCTAGCAGGATCTCTCGTAAATGAAACGTCTCGTTTAAACGAGAGACGTTTCACTCTTTCGGTCCTTTCTTGTCCATTCGTTAGCTATATCCGGATTGAATATCGATGTTATATAAGTTCAATCGGGCTTTATTTGCACATTAACCTTCGACGATCGTATCGGCAGCCTCGATGACCCATATATCCGAGGAAATTTCATGGAAACGGAGGCACAATAAGAACGAGAGAAACCACGTCGATATTAAGGTCGATCGGGCGAGATAAATTTCCATTAATTAGACGAGATTTCGCGAACGAAAGGGACACTCGTTACAAAAAGTATACAGAAGCAGTTCAGTTTATTCCAGTCAAATTAACTAAGGAAAACGTGTTGGTACAAATTGGTTACGACGCGACTTCCTGTTGAACTCTAGCTTATCGATTCGCGGGACGACAACCTTGCCTCGGTTCAACGCGTCTCGCTGGTCAGAAATGAAACTCTGGACACTTCGATCTACGAATTTTCTTCTTAACATATATAATCCCCTCTATTTTCTTTTTTTTTCACCTATGTCACTTATTACAGTTTCCCCGTGGTTGATCGTCACGTGTGCAGCTTCAACTTACAAGACTATCTCAAGCCCGTTTCGACGCGTGAATACTAGAGTACGGTTATATTTTTTCGTATTTTATGCATCTACGTCTACGTTTCCCGTATAAAATCTACGCGCTTCCACGTCGCAGCCCCCGTCGTTTCTTCTTCCCGTGAATCCCTTTAATCCACGTGAGTGCAAAAATCGAGCACCGCGTTTCCGTGAACGATCTGAGCGAACAACTCCCTGGCCCTTGCTCTAGGAGACAACGACACTTTGTCGCGATGCTGAATTCTCTCCAGAGTAGGCGAACAAATATCTGGGCTGTCTCCTATGTTCTTCTCGAGATGCAGCGTCGAGATCGGCGGAAGAACGTTCCTCACGTCGCTCTCCGACTTGGCGAACTTCTTCACCGGTTCCGTGTACCTGATCGAATCGTCCTCCTGGACGTCCACGACGAAACCACGTCTCAGATTCTCAGATTTCGTTTGCCTGATCACGGAATCAACGCGCCTCTTTATGTCAGCCTTAACGATAGCAGCCTCGATGCTCTCCCTTTTACTCCCGCTTGGATTCTTCGTCGCACTGTCCAGCATGTCCAGCAGCCGATCGAAAGAGTTACAGATCTCGTCCAAGGATTGCTGGCTGAGCAACAGAAATCCGCTGGTTTCTTGCTCCTTCTCTTTCAGAGCGTTTTCTAATTCTACCAGATTGGTCTTCATCGACTGCAACTGATCTTCAGCAGCCTCGCGACGTCCTCGCTCCTCGATCAACAGCAAACCACTTCGCCTCGTTTCCTCGAGCAAACGATCATGCTCTGCCTGTGCCTCGGCTAACTGCACCTGGATCTTCTGAATTCTAGCTGAATCGTCCGTGATCAAGCCGCCAGCTACCTGCGTTCCTACGTCCACTTTCGCTAACTCTAAATTCTTCGAAGAACTTCTATCGCTGTCGGGCTGAATGCTGCTTCCATTCTGAAGATTTTCGGGGTTTTGACCAGCCTGTTCCATCACAGGTTGAATATGCGACTGAAGGTCCAGATGAAGAGACACTTTCGACTTTGGCTGACCGTTTTGAACTACCTGCTGTTGCTGTCTGCCTTTATTATACGGTGGGATATGAGGCTTTAATTTCATCTTCTTGGTGTTCACTAAATTCGTTCTCCTCGATATCGACTGATAAGGACCTTTAGAGTGATCCACGACAGCGCTGCGTGGCCTAACCGGAGGTTTCCCGTTATTCTCTCTTTCGTTTCTCTTCCCGCTGCCTGCTGACGCTACTCTTCGATCCTGCTGAGGTAGACCCAACCACCTGTACTCGGGCTTCGTGTTAACGTTGTTCTCTTCTAGCCTCTTGATCACTTCCTTCACCAGTGCCTCGTTCAAATTCACATTTTGCCTTATGTCCAGCACGTTCAAGGTAGTATTGTGATCCAGTAGCTCCAACAGGTCCTTGCCAATCTTATCGGATACTCCACAGCGCTGTAGGTCCAGAGCTTTCAACCACAGGCTGTCTCTCACAGCTTCGATTAATTCACACACAGCTACGTCACCCAGCTGAGGATTATCGTTCAACGTCAATCGACGCAAGCCCGGCATAGCCTCGAGATTCGGCTCCTGGTATCTCAGCGACTGCTTCCAGGTGTCGTGATAGAGCAGCAGCTTCTGCCTGGACAACGCAGCTGCCAAAGACGGTCCACACTTGCACGTCAGATCGCAGTAGCTCAGATTCAACGATCTAACGCTTGGAACGTCCGCCACTGTGCGACACAACACCTCGCAGGAATTGTCCCCGATGTAACAACGCTGAAGCGACAAGTAGTGAAGCGTGTGTGTGTGTGACAAACCCACGCACAACACCGCCAAACAGTCTGGCGGAAATGGGATACCTTCCAGTTCTAGGTTAGTCAGAACCGGTGAATTTCTGACACATTGAGCGACACTGTGAGACAGCCATTCTAGGAGATACCGTGATAACACGACAGGTGCCTTGCCCATTGTCCTAGCCTTGTCCTCGGAATTGATCTCCTCCAGAGGCTTGCGACACTGGTACCTACTGCGAACGCTGATCGATCGTAGGCTACGATCGAGCGACAGGGAATTTAAAATAGGACACCAGTCGTCCATTTTCACGCGGTCGGTGGTGAAGTCTAGACTGTGGGGCAACGTCACACAGATGACCGGTAAAGGACGCAGGCGCTGCTGTTTGCACAGCTCCATGTAGCAGTTGGCGAAGTTTCTGCTGTTCGGAATCGCCATCCTGGACGATGACGCGGGCACCGGTGCGTTCACCCGGCCCTGGCCTGTTACGGTCTTCGTTGTGGGCGCCAGGGTGACGGTGATTGTTTTCTTCAGAGATTTTTGGTCCTGTTTGGAGAATTTCAGGATTTTTATCGATTGTCGGATTGTTGTGTGACGTTGTTCGGATTCAAATTCGATCTCGAATGCTTTTACTTCGGTTGAGGATAATTAAAGGGACACATTTGCGGTGTCTTTAGTTACTGCGGTTAATTAGAAATAAATCATTTTTATTGCAGTACAGTAGGTTTCATATTTTGTTAGGAATTGGTATCTTGTTTAGTTTACTACATGAAAGTATCACAATGATCAAACTACTTTTGTTACTTCTCGCTGAGAAGAGGTTAATTTCCGAGAATATTTGAATGCGCGAAAATAAAAAATTTCATGCAAAATAGAACGACAATCTGCATAAATGCACTCACCTTCGGTATTGCAGCCTCGTTCGTACGTTAACCCCAATTTCATCACACACCGTCATCTGCGTTCTATCAGTTTTTCCTACAATCTTAACGTGAAATCGGTTTCGAGAGATTCAACAAGGTATTCGTTCGCAGAAGATGCAAATCGCGTTCGTGTTTACCCGAAATCGACGAAACGAAATTTCTACGCGACATACGTTGAAAGTATGCAAACAAAACTCGCGCATCAGCGAATTAAAGTTGCAGCGAATCGTCCATATGATCGACCGCTTTTATTGACATTTATGATTTTAACATATTATCGAAAGTGATTTTTGAAAATTTAGTAAAGATGTACGTATATATAAGAAAGAATATCGATGCAAAACTGAAGGAACTTTATGAAATAAAGTTCGAATTAGCATGGCGAGATGAGGTACGAGAAATTTGGTTAAAATGTTGAATAAAATTGTGGAAAATATGATCTTTCAGACCACCTGTGTCTCTGGCTATGGCAAGATACACAACCCCGTTGCCTTTACCCACAGTTGCGCCTACGACAAATTCGGCGAACCCTCCGACACCGCCTCGACAAGATAACGAAGATGGTACTCGTCAATTTTTATTAATTATCGAATGAAAACTGCGATTTTTATGATATTGAAATTAAATTCATTCTTTAGTTTTCTTTTGTGAATAGTGAAAATGTAATATTACCAATTTGTACAAATAGTTGTTTTTGCCTTTGGCATGATTTATGTAGGAAACGCATCGGAGGATAGCATAGACGTGACGAACGAAGAACCATTGACACCGCAGAGAAGCGGTTGCACGCAAATTCCGCCTGTGATCCCTTCTCTGTATTCACCTGCCAGTGCAGAAACGGTCTACGAAACCAGTGCCAGGCTGCTCTTCATGGCTGTAAAGTGGGCCAAGAATCTTCCTTCCTTCGCGAGTTTACCTTTCAGAGATCAGGTATCTTAATCAAATTTTTCAATATTATCAATACTAAATTAAACTCGTTGCCTTTTTATTAATCTCATTGTCTCGTTATTTGATTGAAAATCAGTTCGCCAAGTGTTTCGCTTACAGAATGAAATAAATTTGTCAACATTCAATACAGAAACAATTATTATAAATGCAAAAGTAAGCTCGTTGTCTTTTATTGAAAATCAGTTCGCGTTTGCAGGTGCGAAATGGTTAAAGAGAAATAAATTTGTCTGTCATTGAGAAAATTCGGAAAATGATTCTATCGTGAAACGTATTTGGAATGGATATTGGAATTGAAAAAATGCGATCGTTTGATTCATCATGTCAGGTGATACTTCTGGAAGAGGCCTGGTCGGAGCTTTTCCTTCTAAATGCAGTACAGTGGTGCCTTCCACTTGAATCGTCGCCCCTTTTCAACTCCGCGGAACTGACTGCTTTGACTTTGTCGCCGCATCCGCACCCCCATTCCGGTATCCACATGCAGACCACCACGGGCAAACCAAGTCAGGTGGCAGCAGATGTGAGGCATTTGCACGATACCTTGCAGAGATATAAGGCTGTCATGGTTGATCCGGCTGAATTCGCCTGCATGAAGGCCATTGTGTTATTTCGACCAGGTTCGTGTTACACAATTAATCGTCTCAATGGAAGTGTATTTAAGTTGATGCAGCGAGATAGAAGTACTTGAACGTTATAAAAGAACGATTCGACATGTGTACAGGGTGATTCACCTAACTTGAAATTACTCGTGAACTATTCATCGTAGGAAAAAGTGTACGAAGCAAAAGTTCCACGATTTCAAGGGTGATATATTATGTTGGAATAATTATTCTTCTCTACGTTGTTTATCCATAAAGTTTAGAAGATCGTCTTGATTTTTTTTTTAACAGAACGTCCTATATTTCTTCAATGAAATTAAATGAGTATTAAAAAAAGAGTCGATAAAAATCACCCTGCATATTAACGATCTCTGCTACGCTTTAAATATTAATTTAAAAATTACTCAAATTATTTATACGAATAATATTTCTATAGAAATACGAATGGTTAATTCCCATTTAGAGTGTCATAAAGTTCACCAATTTACACAAAGCACAATTTCTCCAATTCACCCTATCACTGAAAATTCATATTTTATTGTAACGAAACAAGTCTACACCTCTCGAAATGCAATTTTCCTTCGTGTTACAGAAACCCGCGGTTTAAAAGACTCCAGTCAAATAGAGAACCTCCAGGATCAAGCGCAAGTGATGTTAGGCCAACACGCCAGGGCACAGCAACCAGGCAGTCCAGCTCGATTCGGCAGGTTATTGCTGTTGCTGCCGTTGCTGAGGACAGTGCCAGCGTCTAGGGTGGAATTGATATACTTTCACAGAACAATCGGGAATACTCCAATGGAGAAAGTCTTGTGCGATATGTATAAAAATTAAGAAAAGCATTTCCCCCATTTTTCTCATCAAAAACTGTCGAACTCTATCCAAGTATCGAGCAATCGATTCTTGTACAGTGCCACCAGTTCCGATCTCTGAATAAGTGAAGTTCTATGAAGTTCATGTTGTTGAGAAAATAACTCCTATAAGAAATATGTTTGACTGATTCTGCGACACGTTTCACTTCTTTTTTTTTTTCTCATTCGAATCAGAACGATTTGTCGAATGGTATGAAAGAAGTACGCGAATAATTCGGCACGTTTGCGTCGAATCGACGGAAAAGTGAACGTGTCGCAGGTTTAACCGAGATTTCGTTTTAATACTATCTCTTAAGGTAGAGTGCGTGTAAAAAGGAAGACCACGAAAGACTTTCTTTTGCAAAGAATTCACTGCGTACGTTGAAACTTATACGTAGACACAGAGCGTAGACGTCGAATGTGTAAGCTTTATCTTTGAACGTCGAGAGTCGAACAGAGGAGATTTAGGGAATAAAAGCGAAGCAATTTACGCTGACCAAAGACACCGAGGAATGACGACTGATCGAGATCGATCGTTTACCACGTGCGCGATAGCTTTGGCCTAAGGACGAAGCCCCAAGTATGACGTTTCAATGAATTTGCGATCTCGTCTAGTGATTTCTGTTTCCCGCTAGATCGGGGTCGAGTAACGACGGATCCCTTCGAGTAAGGTAACGAATCGATGCGTGTTGCATTTTAGTTTAATGATTCAACGGTATCTAAGTGAAACGAAAGATACTCAGTTCCATAAAGACATAGATAATATATTTATTTATTATAGAAACGTTTATCGGACATTAGGTTCGACGTGTTGACCAAGTCGTTTCATTTTTTCAACATTAAGTAGGTGAATTTTATACAAACGTCGGAAGAATTTTGAAAAAAATTCGAAATGGAAGATTTATCGTTTCTTCGTTTGTTTACTCTTTTTCTACTCGCACTATCGTTTACCGTCAACATATGTAAGATAAGGATTTTTAAATGTACGAGTAAACAGATACGAACTTTTCGACAGCTGTAAAGGAAACAAAAGGAAGAAGGACAACTCGTCTGTGCTTTTCTTGTATATTTCGTGTTGTGATACTATTTGCTGTAAAAGTCTAGTTAATGAGTCACGTGACACACATTGTAACGATTACGTAACCACTTGTAATAAAAGTACACATGCGTAAGGAATGATCGAACGTGAAATTAATGTCCCACCCGATGATATGATGGAAAAGTTAATAAGAAAATTTTTCGAATGTTAATTCCAACAAATTTTACATCGAATATTTGAATGTTGCTAACTTATTCGACGAAAAAGTGAAAATTCTTCAGAGAAAGTGACGAAGAAAAGACTGGCGATACCACGTTACAGATTCTCAATAGGGACGTGGTTCGGTTCACGACTGGAGTCAAAGATCCCAATCCCTGAACTACTTTAATTTCTGTTTATTTAACGGAGGGGTAACACGGGTGAATCCCGGCGAATCGAAATTTGACGCTAACCCCCGAGTCACGGTGGTTGTTGCATAAACGTACATATTTATTTATCACCGTATAATCCCTGACTTTCCCTCGGGGGTTTTGCCACATGGCAGTTTGACAGTCCCCAGTGGAATTACCCCCTCGCGGCCGCTTATAAATTACATCGAGGTTCGAGCAAGGTTTAAGGGCCTGCTTAAGTTGTCAAAGCAATCGGAGAGTTAAACGCCCTGGCACGAGGGCGAGACTTACCCTTAATACTTTTCCGATCGGAACTACTTCTTCGACCCTCTCGAAAAATCACTGTCCACCGTTCTCATTCGGTTGCGCGCATCTTTCCTCGCGTTTCCAGCACGCGCGCATCCTTTTCTGATTTTACGATGTCTCCGTGTATTTTGCATCTTCGAGAGTCGTTGGAAAAAGTATATTTTAACGAAGAGAGTAATTGGAATAGAGGTGAAACATTTGTGGAAGATAAACGAGTCGAGTTGTAGGAAAACGCAGAGAGCAAGAACGATGTAAAATGATGGTCAGAAGGTGTCGAAATCGTTCGGGAATTGAATTTCGCTCGGTCCACGTCCGAATCGATTCCTAAAACACGCGTTTGCTTCGTGACGCCGGGAACTTTCGGGTCGAGCGTCCTCTCACTACGACACGTAACGAATTTCGATATCCCGCGGCTCGAGCACAAAGAGGAAAAGGGGTTGGAAAGGCGGCGCGGGTTACTGAGAGGGCATTCGGAGGAGAAAGGATGGCTGGTCATAGTATTGACTCGCTTTTGCGGATGCAGGGGCGGAGTTTTCGACCTCTCTCCCTTCCTCTCTACCCTCCTTCCCGCTCTTTCTACCTTTCTGTGTATCACTCTTCATCCCGCTTTCTTTTTCCTTCTTCAACTCGCTTTCTCCCTATAAATACACTCTGCCTTTTTCCCCGTCGCTCATTCACGTTTCTCCCTCATCTTCCGTCTTCCGTCTCGATCTCACCTGTTCTCTCATCTCTTTCTTTCCTACGTTAAACTCGAATTTCTTTCTCTATTCCACTTGAGCAAAACACACGCTCTATCTTCCCTGCTTTTCTCTCTCTCTCTCTCTCTCTCTATAACCAACCGTATTTCCCATCTTCGTCTCTCCCTCCTCTCTCTCTCGATCTCACCTGTTCTCTCATCTCTTTCCTTCCCATATTAAACTCCTATCTCTATCTCCATTCCTCTCGAACGAAGCACAAGCTCGATCCTCGCCACTTCTCTCTCTCTCTCTATCCCTCCTTCACCCCCACCCCACGTGAACGCAGGCGGTCGGGGTCGAAAGGGGATGACTCGTCGCACAGGGCTGTCAAACCCCCACCCACGCAACGACAAAACTCCCGTTGAAGGGTGACCCAGCAATGGCGGCGGGACTTGTTGTATTTCGCTTTCGAGGTGAGCTCCATTCCCTTCTACCTTCTCGATTCCCGTTCCAACCCCTCCGCGGCGGCGGCGGCGGCGGTAGCGGCGGCAGCCAGCCGGGGGCAGGCTGAGAGAGGACTGGCTGAAATGAAACTGAGTGGGTCGGAGTGAGGAACCAGCGCGACTCGAACACGCTTCGAAACGAAGACGGAGGAATCGAAAGTGGCCGGTGAGCGACGAGGAAAGGACGAAAGTAGGATGGCACGGAACGAGGAGAAACTGTACATTGGTGGAACGGAGAGGTGAACGAGGAGGTCTATATCGCACGGAAACAGCAACCTCCATTTATTTTATTACATTATCATACCAACTAGGCGCTCGATAAGTGGGGCTTTAAAGCGACGGTTCTCAAATCGTCTCGCGTGAAACTTTTGCGCCGTGAACTCCGGCGCACAGGCGACCTCGTAAGTCGACGGCTCCTCGTTCGTTGGGAAAAAGAAAAGCTGGATCGAAAGTTAATGGGTATCCGGCGAGAAAAATCGATCGCTTCGTTTAGACGTTCTAAGTCTGTCTATTTCCACAATTTCTTCCATTTTTTCCCCTGCTGATTTTTCTGATAACAGAAAATCTGTCGTGGTGAATTGAACTGTTCTTTTTTCGCAATTATTCTTATCTGATCTCTTATCTATCGAATGTCCCTTAACGAAATTTATCGAAGAAAAAGTGACCAACAGGAGCAGCGGACACGTTCTCGATTTACAGAAAATTCGAAGGGTGCGTTCACTTCGATTGTCGGGGAAAAAACGATTCGACGGATTTGCTTCGCATTCGCGCGTCCGCGAGCAAATCAGACCGAATTGTTCAGCCGTTAAGTTGGATTAAAAGCAAAGGCAGCGACGTACATGTTTCTCTGCGTCGCCGTTGTCATTTAATGGCCATCGATTATCGTCGTGAATTTAAACGAAGCACACGCATAATTACGCCGCCGTGTTTCGCAGTTTTGTCGGATTCATCTGTCGCTCTGACCGCGCGAACGATTCAATTGAAAACAAGCATTCATCCCGCGGATGTTTACCATCCCCTCTTTTGTTTGACAAAACGCCAAGCAAATAATTATAATTCGCGGCGGAAAGTATAATCGCGACGCGTAATTACAGTATTCAATCCTGCATTATGCAGACATTTTGTCTGATTAACGCTTTTATCGTGTGATTAAAGCGGCAATATTACGCCTTTGTGATACTCTAATTTCACAAATATTCTATGGCATTTCAATTTTATGATTTGCAATTGAAATGTGAATTAATCGCTGAGAAAAAGAAGTGTAATTCACATTGTACAATATTGTTGGGTTATCCAAATTTCGCCTAAGTAATGTCGAAATTGTTAGTTACGTTCAAATTTTCGAGATTTCACAAGCATTGTACGATATCGAAATTTCACGATGTGTTTTTACTATTGTACATATAAATTTGTTACCACTATCCGCGAGAATTTATGTGATTTCATTTGATTTAAAGTATCCGTAATCATCAAAGTTTAGACCAATTGCGATAAGATAACATAATTGATAAATTTCTGCAAGGAAATTCAAGTTTAGTAAGTACTGCCAATAAGAAATGGTACATATTTCGTTCCCTCGGTTCATGTTTCACGAAAGCACCAGTCCATAACGATTCCCCGCGAATTTTTCACCCCGGCTATCTTGAACTGGAGAATTCACCGAGCTGGCTGACGTTTAAGAAATCTGATTTTCTTCTCACGTATATCGGAGGATTACCCGAGTATTCGCCTTCGACCAGGACGACCACTTCATTCCAGATATCCACAAACAACAGACGATTCATCCCTTCGATCCTCTTTTCCCTTTTCCAACCTCGTCCTTTTCGCTCGTCAGAAGACTGCAACATGAAGTTACTTATTTTTCATATTTTCAACGCCGCCCACAGAAACTTCGCTAAGAATCGTTTGCATCGAAAAATTCCTCCGTTAAAAATTGAAAAGGACTCGAGAAAAGGAAATATAATATTTCTCATTGTCTTTCCCTTCCAAATCTGTCGATTTTCTGTCAAATAGCAAAATACTCTTCTCTCACGTTTGAAAATTTTTCAGCCGATGGAGAATGGACTAAA